CGCGGCACAAACATCCAGACCGGCGAGCCCGTGGCCATCAAGCTGGAGCAGGTGAAGACGCGCCACCCGCAGCTGGCCTTCGAGGCCCGATTCTACCGCATTCTCAACGCTGGCGGTGGGGTCGTGGGCATCCCCAACATCCTGTTCTACGGCGTGGAGGGCGAGTTCAACGTGATGGTGATGGATCTGCTGGGGCCCTCACTCGAGGACCTCTTCAGCTTCTGTGGTAGGAAACTCTCGCTGAAGACCACGCTGCTGCTGGCCGAGCAGATGATCGCGCGCATCGAGTTTGTTCACAGCAAGAGCGTCATCCACCGCGACATCAAGCCGGACAACTTCCTGATGGGCACCGGGAAGAAGGGACACCACGTCTACATCGTAGACTTCGGCCTCGCCAAGAAGTATCGCGACCCCCGCACGCACCAGCACATCCCGTACAAGGAGGGGAAAAGCCTGACCGGGACGGCGCGGTACTGCTCGATCAACACGCACCTCGGCATCGAGCAGAGCCGCCGTGACGACCTGGAGGGCATCGGCTACGTCCTGATGTATTTCTTGCGGGGCTCGCTGCCGTGGCAGGGCCTGAAGGCGCACACGAAGCAGGAAAAGTACGTAACTATCGCAAGGTGTAAAATGTCCACCTCCTTAGAAACGCTGTGCAAGGGGTTCCCGGCGGAGTTCGCCGCGTACCTCAACTACACCCGAAGCCTGCGCTTCGAGGACAAGCCGGACTACAGCTACCTGAAGCGGCTCTTCCGAGAGCTCTTTGTCCGGGAAGGGTACCACCCAGACTACGTGTTCGACTGGACGTTGAAGCGCATTCATGAAAGTTTGCAGGACCAAAGCAGAGATGTCTCGCAAGACCAAAACCAAAAGGACAGCTAGCAAAAACATAATCAGGGGCCTCAATGTGAGGCTAAAGCAACCAAAAGCACCACTATATATATATATATGTATATGTTAGCAATGACAACATTTTGGCGAGAAGAAAAATCAACAAAAGAGCATAATAGACCGCAGTAAAGGACATCCTATTCTGAATCAACCGAGGAGAACGCGTGCCGCCCGTCTTTCCCCCTCTCCCTTTCCTTCTGTTGCCAGCAAGGTAGGAGTGGAGGACACAAGACACGATGAGCGCGGAGCTTCGTGTGGGCAATCGCTTCCGCATCGGCCAGAAGATTGGGGCGGGCTCGTTCGGCGAGATCTTCCGCGGCACAAACATCCAGACCGGCGAGCCCGTGGCCATCAAGCTGGAGCAGGTGAAGACGCGCCACCCGCAGCTGGACTTTGAGGCCCGATTCTACCGCATTCTCAACGCTGGCGGTGGGGTTGTGGGCATCCCCAACATCCTGTTCTACGGCGTGGAGGGCGAGTTCAACGTGATGGTGATGGATCTGCTGGGGCCCTCACTCGAGGACCTCT